TGAGACAGAGCCTTGCTCTGTCACCCTGGGTAGAGTATAGTGGTGCCATTGTAGCTCACTGCAACCTCAAACTCCTGGGCTCAAGCAATCCTCCTGCTTCAGCCTCCCGAGTAGCTGGAACTATAGGCATATACCATGACGTCTGGCTAATTTTTCTATTTTTAGTAGAGATGGGGTCTCACTCTTGCTCAGGCTGGTCTCCCAACTCCTGAGCTCCAGTGATCCTCTGCCTTGGCCTCCAAGAGTGCTAGGATTACAGGTGTGAGCCACCACACCCGGCCAAGTCTTTGCTCTTGTTCCCTTGGCCAGCAAACCCTCCCTCTCTTTTCTGTATAAGTTTGATCTCAGCTTTTCCTGAACATCTCCTGTCTTGCCCTTGACAGGGCTGGTTCAGCAATGTGAGCTGCCCCAACAAAGTGCCTGCATCTTTGCAGCCCTGACCCCTGCTGCTGTGTGGATGCTCCCCTGGGAGATGGGCCTTGCATCCCTGGAAGCCATAGCACCCTGGCTCTTGGGCCAGGAGGGGCTTAGAGCACATGTTGACTAAAGCTGGTGCTTGAGACTAAAAGAGTAAAGGGGGAGAGGCTGAAGACAGAGGGCTGTGTGGGTAGGTCAGTATGGCCAAGTTCTGAGTTCCAACCCCCCCAGCCTGCCAGGCTGGTGACAAGCTGGATTTCTGCAGAGGGCCTGGGCCCCATCCCCTTGGCATGGCTCTGAGCTGGCCTAGCAGCCCGAGGCTGCTGCTGGGGACACAGACCAGATTCATTCTCCACCCACCCACCTTACCCCAACTTGCTTTTTCCTTTGCCAGCAAAGGGTTGAAATTCACAAGCTGCGTCAAGGTGAGAACTTAATCCTGGGCTTCAGCATTGGAGGTGGAATTGACCAGGATCCATCCCAGAATCCCTTCTCGGAAGATAAGACAGACAAGGTGAGGGGTACTAGGGTCCTGGAATCTCTTCATGGGGCACAGAGGCCCGAGATGGTGGGTCTCTGCTTCCTGGGCCTGCATGGAAGATGAGGCATCATCTTTCTCAAACAGTGCTCTCTAGCAAGGCCCAAGAAATGATCTGGTGGGAATAAGTAGGGGTGGGGGTAAGGAGTGAGTCTGCCAGCTCTAGTAAGGCCTGCTGAGACAGAGACCAGTAGGAACAGGAGGTGGTTACCAGCAGGGGCTGGTGCATCCATGGGGCAGCCACACTTTCCCCTGGCTGTCTGGGTATAGGCTGTACCGGCCATATGCACTGGGGAGAGGCCAGGGCAAGGGCCAGAGCAACAGCTGTGACTGTGCCATGCTGGGTTCTGCTCTGTAGATAAGGGACCAGTCCAGTGAGCACAGGGCCTGACTTGGGCTGCTTTTTTCCAGGGCATTTACGTCACACGGGTGTCTGAAGGAGGCCCTGCTGAAATAGCTGGACTGCAGATTGGGGACAAGATCATGCAGGTAACAGGTGTCTCACTGGAGAACAAGGTTTGGGCCAGAAGGTCTGAAGCACTTGCTGGTGGTGGTGGTGCCCCTGCCTCCTAGCTGGGAGAGACTCACCCACGCTGGTATTGCCCCCAGAGGCAGCTGGCTTTCTTCCTCCTCTGTGTGTGTCATCTATGGTGCTTGGTGTTCCTCAGCCCTGGGATGTCAGCTTGGGTGATCCAGGCTCCCCAAAGCCCTCTGCTTCCAGATCTGAGGGCAGGGAACTAAGGTGGGCTGTGTTCTCTCCTTGGGCCAGGTGAACGGCTGGGACATGACCATGGTCACACACGACCAGGCCCGGAAGCGGCTCACCAAGCGCTCGGAGGAGGTGGTGCGCCTGCTGGTGACGCGGCAGTCGCTGCAGAAGGCCGTGCAGCAGTCCATGCTGTCCTAGCAGCCTGCCTTGGTCTGTAACTCGTGCCTGCCTGCCTATTTGTACAGTGACACCACTTCCACGCTCTGTCTGCTCCTTATCCTGGCTTCTGCCGAGTGCTGGGCCCCAGCTCAGAAGGGCGACCGCTGACCCCAGAGGCCTGACCCAGCCTTTCTTCCCCTCTTCCACTTGCAGCCCGAGGCTCTGGGAGCAGCTCTCTCCCTTGGACACTGAGGACTGGAAACAAGGGCCTGGAGCTGAGTGGTAGTCAGTCTGCAGTGGCCACAGGCTCAGTCCCCAGACCCTGCTGCTTGGCCACAGCAGTGGCTGGGAGAGGG